CGAGTTGTGAAAGAACTCGACGAGTTGGATCGCGATTTCAGGGTTTATGATTCATGGAACTCGACGAGTTGATGGACCAACTCGGCGAGTTGAGTCAACCCAAGATGTTGACTTTGACCTTGACTTTGGCTTTGACCAAGGTTGACCCGTGAAGGGGTTTTGAGTATGAAATGTTATCTAAGAGGTTGTTCTGTATAGGGTGTGAGTAGAGCCGGTTGCGGAGCAGGGACTTTCAGTTATTCACGACATTGAGGTGAGTTTCCTTCAGTAGGAATGGGTCTAAGGCACCAAGGTCGGCCCGTATATGTGATATGTTTAGTAGCTGAGTATGGGTGGGGCCCGTATCTCATAGATAGCTGATATGGTACAGATTTATATGCTTAGTTATACTTGTTGTCTGTGTGATACCTGTATGTATTTCATGACTAGCTGAGTGTGGGCGGGGCCCGTATCTCATAGTAGCTGAGTGTGGGTGGGGCCCGTATCTCATCGTAGTTGAGTGTGGGCGGGGCCCGAATCTCATAGTAGCTGAGTGTGGGTGGGGCCCGTATCTCATTGAGTGTGGACGGGGCCCGTATCTCCTAGTTGCATGTTATGTGTATGGTATGTGGTAGTTTGGGGGGACTCACTAAGATTCGTGCTTACAGTTTTCATTTTTGGTTTCAGGTACTTCCGGTAGCAAGGGGAAGAGCTCGGGATGACTGCAATGCACACACCATTTGTTTAGACTGGGATGTTTTCACTCTGATATTTGGATATGAGTTTTGATACGATACTCTGATTTGATACTATGACTTATGTTTTTGGATGGAATGTTTTTGATATCTATGTTTTATCTAATAAAAAAACTAACTTTTTGGTCATGATTTTTTGGATGTTACATCACCATTAAGTGCTTAATCGATTAAGCCACTATGTCCAATTCTCAGATATGATCCTATATGATGTCTTAACATGTAAAGTTGGAAACTTTACTTCTTTTCATGTCTTAATGGGACCCAATACTCAATAAAATCCATAATAAGCACCCAAACTCATGCATGGTCCAATATAACGCATCAAGATTGCATTTTTATGAACCAGGGACCTCAAAAATGCTAAGATTTATCATCTTTTTCTTTTGGAGTAGCTCATACTCTCATGCATGACTTAAAGGACCATAAGAAGCACAAAAACAAGCCCTAACTAGATCTAACAAAATGAACCATCAAGTTAAGAGATTTATACCTCAAAGAGCTTTCCAAGTTAATGATGATTCTGGATCCACAAGCTCTAGCCACACCAATACAACTTCCAAGGGTTCCTCTTCCTTCAAAATCACCAAAAACACCCTCAAAGTTCACTTCCAAGCTTAAAACACAAAAAGGGCAATTAGGGTTTCGTTCTTAGGGTTTGGAGAGGTGGAGGTTGGTCATAAGAGAGTCTAAGAGCAACTTAAGGTGTTTAAATAGGGCACAAACCCTAAAAATTAGGGTTTTCCCCTGTTGTCCGTACGCCCCGCGTACGTGGGTGCCTCTACGATCTGAATATCGATCCAGTACGCCCGACGTACTCATAGTGTACACCCACCGTACCCGGCTAGGGACTAAAACCACCAATCTTTTGAAGGCCATAACTTCTTCGTTCTGAGTCCGATTTCGACGTTCTTTATATCCACGGAAAGGTCATGAGAAGCTCTACAATTCTATCAACTCTATTTTCATTTAAACTTCCCGAGCTTAAATCCAAAATTCATAAAAGGCCCAAACTATCACTTTATGGTTATACCCTTGGGCTCCAAAACACAAACCGAACTTCTCGGATCACCTAATCTATATTATCCACATCCAAAGGGTCTAAATCTCCCCTTCCCCAATGCCCATAGCCTTATGATAACTAATCTTCGGGTCACGACCCCGAACTAGGAAACAATTCGAAACAGGGTGTTACAGGTTCAAACCGATGACTTCCCGATTTTGGACGATTATCACGAAATGATGGGTTATGTTATTTGGACATGGAGACCTTGTAATTCTGAGTCGTGAAGCAAAGGTGTTTGGGATAAAAAGATGTAGTGACAGCTCAAGCGAAATGGGGATTGGATTTGGAAAATCCATCGAGGAATTGCAAGAAACATATCTAAAGTGTTTTGTCAGACCGATTTCAACAACGAAATCCAGATAAGTGGGGGATAATTATAACATCTGTTTTCTGGATTTATTTTTAGGAGTTTTTCAGGGAAATCGAGAAGAGAGTTTTGAGAAAACCCCTAGATAGCGACTCGTACAATGGAGTGTTACGGTGTGTGCCACGTCACAAGTTGCGACGCGGCCATGTATAGGTCATGACGTAAAGTCACAATAAGCTCAAACCCTAATCTCGGTCCTTGAGCCTTATTCAATGACACTAACTTCTAAGGTTTCCCTTATTGCTCAACCTCGAACCCAAAAACCCTTCACTTCTAAAGCCCTAGTCTCCTTTGCCTTCTTTCCTTATGTTTGATACCTTAAAGAAAGATTGAAGAGTTGGTTGGTAGTTTGTGTTAAGAGAAGCAAACTTCATAAATTTTCTACCTTCTTGTTGCATCCTCAAGTTGTGTAAGTGATCAAGACTCAAGATTTTTAAATGATTGATGTTAGATCTAGCCTTTTATTGGTTTTTGGTCCTTTATGTCATGATCTATATGGATTTTGGAGAACTTCAGGTCCAAAGATGGTTTTAGTTGATGTTTTGGGCCCATTATGTCGCTTTGAAGGCATTTTGGACTTCCTTTTTGATCCATGCATGAGAATGTTAGCTTTTTGGACTATGTTAAACCTAGGGTTTGATTTATAACTTGTTTGGGACTTGTGAATGGATAAAGTTGAAAACTTTATCCATTAAGAACCTTGTTTAGATAAGATCTGAGAATGTTAGCCTTTGACTTGTTAGATTAAGCACTTAATGGAATAAGTACTCTTCCTTTGAAAGCACGAAACGACCATGGAATGGTCGTGACATGAGCCTTTATCCAGATTCACAACTATTTTGTCACTAGTAATCGCGACACGACCATGAGCTGGGTCGCGACGCACTGATTGTTGACTGTTGACTTTTGACCATTTTGATTTTTGGTAAAACTTTGTTGGATGTGAGTATTAGACTGAGGTTTAGTCTCGATTTGGTATTAGTTGGTTTTGCTAGTTGTTTTGTTGCAAAGGCTATTGTTGGGACTCTGTTACTAGACTCAGGCGAGTTTTCTCATTGTACTATGTGTGACATTGTATGTGTAGTGTGATAAGTTGTATGTGTGTTGTTAGGGTATGATTGTATGTTTAGGTTGGTTAATTTGTTGTTTGTTATGCGTAGGATCCTAGGGGAAGTTGGTCGTAAGCCTTCAAGTCCACTAGGATAGGTAGTTGGAAGTTCAACAGGTCTGTGGGATGATGGTCATGTGCCTATAGGCCTACTGAGGTGTTGACTATGAGCTAATGATGGTTGGAAGTTTAACAGGTCTTTGGGATGATGGCTTTATGCCTATAGGCCCATTGAGGTGTTGATTATAAGTCGAACGAAAGTCTAAGTCAGATGGAAGTCTAACAAGTCTTTGGGATGATGGATATAAGCCTATAAGCCTACTGAGGTGTTGACTTTGAGGCTTTATATGTATGCATTGTATATGTGATGTTATATGTGGTATTTTGAGGAACTCACTAAGCTTTATGCTTATAGTTATGGATTAAATGTTTTTCATGTTGTTAGGAGGAAGGCTCAGCTTGATTGTACCGCACGTGCATCACTGTTGATTTATGAATTAGATTTCTATTTATTTTATGATGCTACTCTGTTTTGGAAATTATATTTTACAATTATTGAACAAAAACATTTTTACATTACTTTTGGGAGCACAATATGACATTATATTCTATTTTGAAGATGAAAACTTTGGTTTGAAATTTGGGATGCTACATTAATAAATGAATTTTGTTTTCCTTTTTATTATAACACCGAAATTTAATAAAAGTAGAAGTTAGAATAAGTCAAAAAAAACGTAAGGTTAAATCCCCTGTGATTCGATTAACAACATACAACTATATTGTATTATGAGCCATATTAGTTACGATATTAATAAAATATTTGATATTAGTGTAGTCAATAATTTGCATAATTAAGTTTCATCCAGGTCATTGAAAAAGACAGAGAAATCTGATTAGTATGTCATATGGACTTTGAAGCCACCGACTTAAGCAACACATAGAAGTTGATACCGTTGGTTAAATCTACACCAAAACATATGTAATTTGGAGTAATATAATTCACAATGTGGTCTTTTCGCACCATTGTCCTCCACTACAAACAAACAGATATTCTAAAAAAACTAATTACAACTCAATATAAAATAATAGAAATCTAGATATTAAAGTCCTCTAAACAATGTGTAAACCAAACACTGCAAAACGGAACAAGAAATTATATACAAAAGTTTTTTTTGTTAATCCTGAATATCACTCTAGAATAATGTAGATTATGAACGGAACAAGAAATTATATACAAAAGCTTTTTTTGTTAATCCTGAATATCACTCTAGAATAATGTAGATTATGAACTTTTATGTCAGTCTGAAATGTACAATCTTAGTCTAAAATGTACAATGTCAGATTCCGAAATAGCTTTACGTCAAATCTCACTAACCACCCACCCACTCTGAAACACTCATAACTAATCCGAAATTGGGGATTCCGAAAGAAAATTGTCAATTTTTCAAATTCTAAAACAAATAAATTATACTTGTTAATTTACTCGTTTATATATCTCTAAAATTAACTGTCTTATAATTAATTTACATAAAATACCAACTATAGTAACAATAGAATTAATGAATTATTGGTCTCACGTGTGTGGCGTATTCGTGCAACAATTTGAAATGGGCTCACGTCGAGTACTCAATTATTATGTTTCCCACCAACAAAGGTGAAACATCTTTGGCACAACATAATGCTAACTTTCATAATATTCCTTTCTAGAATACATGTAAACACTGTTTTCACAAATGGCATCATTTAAAAAAAAAAAAGTTAAAATAGATAACAACTATGTTAAAAATAGTTATATAATTACAATAATTATAACTTTATAGATATATTTTAATACTTGCATAGTTCACATAGAACCATGTGTTAACTAGTTGACTTCACTTAAAGTCTTTAAACATAACCATAGTTTCACATTTCCAAAAAAAAAAAAACCCCGGAATCACCGATTCCGTTACTCATCCAAGGCAGTGATTCCGGATTTCCTAAGCCGGCATACTCTTTTCCGATGATTCCGACCTTGTTTATGTTGTTCCCACTCATATCCCCCTCTAAGCACCTTATTCCCACATGCCTACAAGTAATATATATTTTCAACAATTGAACAAATTACATTTTTTTTAACAATAACCTGAAATACATAAAATCTAACCTTGCATATGTGTTGTGTCCATAAGTCTCTTTCTTTCAATTTTAATCCTTTAACACCATTTGTTGCATCAAAATCAGGGACCAAATTTGTATCTTTTTCAAAACAAGATTTTATTATCTGGATTGAAGGCTCAACCACATTTGTAGTCCATGACTCTTCTGTAAAACCTGAAAATAAAACAAACCTAATATCATTAAGATGAATAGATCTTCACTTTCCAATTGAAAATTACATATTTGCCCTTTATCATACATGAAAGACATTCTGTTGCATCAACATAATGTATGTTCCACCCAAACAATGTCTGAAGTCGAATAAGCCTTCTTTTCTGGAAAAATAATAGAATCACATCTTTTAAATTATTAACAATTATATTTATGATTATTAAAAAATATTATTTTAATTAATACCTGACGTCGAACAAGTCTTCTGGTATTTAATTTGACTTTATCAATTGCATCTTGAAGAAGCTCTTTCTCACCAGGGGTACTCAAAATTTCATTCATGTTTAATTTTGACTTGTCAATATGTGTAATGGGAATCTCGAAATTACCATTTTGCCCTTTGGAAAGAGAAGTTTTTAAAAAGACCTCAAACTCCCTGACACCGATTGCTTGGTGTAAGCCTCGAGTGTAATCAGCATCAGGGTTAAAAAATGTCATAAACTTCTAGAAGTAAACCTGAATCGATCATCTGATCTACCCTTTTGTCCACATATTTGTCTATAACATGGAGAGAAGCATCCACACATATAAAACAACAATTGTATCTCAAATTATCTGCATTTCCCCAGTTCTGTTCTGACATATACAAGATTATAACTCAGTCAAGTAAATAATTGCAAAAAATAGCATTCTACTTTCAGTTTGTATTTAAATGATGATGATATAATAAACAAATCAATGAAAGTATGTTGCTATTTCTTGTATTTAACTTGTTTGGATTATTCAAGTATTGTTTTGGAAGAATATGAGATACTAACCTCCATAGTCTTTTCCTGAAGATATTTGCTAGGAAGAACACCAGAGGAAGCATATATATGAAGGTATTGATTAATCTGCGATATGTAAATATTAATTGTTATTGAATGTGTATGAAAGATTTGCAAAATTAAGGACTTTTGAAAGGATGCCACTTACCTTTCTATGGTCATTTGGATGGATTCTATTTGCTGCAATTGGATCAATATCCTTGAGATTATCATAACTATAACTAAAATTCTCTTGTTCTTGTATAAGTTCATTAGGTTGTTGTTTATCTCCTGTTCATCAGTAATTTTATGTCTACTTGTTAAAAGAGTGCATAAGAATTTGAAGTAAAAAAATGTTGTTTACCATATGTTTCATCTAAGCTGAGTTCATCAGTATCCACAGGTGAATCATCTAAAAAGAAATCGACTCACAAGTGCCTGAAAATAGCAAGGAGGACAAGGAACAAAACTACATGTTACACTACATTTAGAAATTGAAATTCTATAAGCTTTAGATCCTTATGAAGATACTAAGTAATGCTTTACCTGAATATAGTAATTTGTGCCTCCAACAATGACTGGCAAATGATTCCTGGATGTTATGGCGTTGATAAGCTGAAAGTAGCAAACTTGTTATGATCAGAAGGAGATTCAAATGGAAAATATGGAACCAATACCAGAAAAACAATCATAAAATATCAATGGAAGCAGTAAATTGACAATCCTTGTTTATTATATAGAGAGGACAAGTACTCACGGAAATTGCAGAATCCCTAAAATCCTTTGCAGTGAACTCGACCATAGGGCTGATTGTACCCAAGAGATGGTGTGGCACTCCTACATAGACAGAGAATCACAGATGATTAGCGATGATACATTGAGGAAGAAAGAACGAAGACATTGAATGGTGAAATGATATGGATGTTTGATCAATTTGTTTACATGCGAGAAATCAATCGAACCTTTCTGATCGTGAATCGGGACTTTATTAGTGAGAACATCCAATCCTTCGTACACCTAATCAAAAAGTTCACGAGACAAGAACAAATTAGGTAATACCAATACATATATGTCCATACTTGTGTGCTTGTATGCTTGTGTTCAAACCTGCATGGAATCGGCGTTAATGATTTCGATAGGGAATTGTGAAGCTAGGTCAATGGCGAGACGAGATTTTCCAGAACCTGTTGCTCCCATTATCACTACTACTTTTGGCTTGGAATTCGAAAATTTTGGGTTTTCTTCTTCTTTCGGGTTCGGAATGCCATTAGGGTCTCTGCAACTGTAACTCTCCATCTCGCGCTCGCCCTCTCTCCTCCGATGCGGCCGCCGGAGATGAGTGGAAAGATATCAAGGGGATCGAACGCCACCTCAAAGTTTCTCTTTGTTACTCTGGCAACCCTATAGTTTTGAAACATTTCTGATTATACCCATCAGTTTGTGGACAGAACATATAACAAACTGATTTTATTATTTACATTTGTTCGGTTAACAAATTAGTTTGTACGTTCGTTAAGATGCTAAGTGATAATAACATATATATATATATATATATATATATATATATATATATATATATATATATATACAAACGAACGTAAACGACATAAACATCCAAATTAGGAAAAGGGAAAATTACTAATCTAGCCATAATTGTTAATGACTTATCAAAAAATAGCCAAAATATGAGTATTGTCCCAAACTAGCCCACGAAACAGTAGTTATTTATATTCGTTTACTGTTTCGGTGTTTCGTCTACTATTTCGTGTTTTTTATAAATTTTTTTTTTTGAAGTAACAAAACCGTAGGTTTTTTTAAAACCTACGGTATTCTCTCAATAAAATACGGTTTCCCAAACCGTAGCCTACGGTTTGGGTAAAAAAGTTACGTTTTTTTTTAACTACGGTTTTGTGGTAAAAGCTACGGTTTTGTGCTAAAAACTACGGTTTTTTTTTATTAATTTTTTTTAATATAGAAAAAATACTCTATATTAAAAAAATTAATAAAAAAACCGTAGTTTTTAGCACAAAACCGTAGCTTTTACCACAAAACCGTAGTTAAAAAAAACGTAACTTTTTTACCCAAGCCGTAGGCTACGGTTTGGGAAACCGTATTTTATTGAGAGAATACCGTAGGTTTTAAAAAAAACCTAAGGTTTTGTTACTTCAAAAAAAAATTTATAGAAAACACGAAACAGTAGACGAAACACCGAAACAATAGACAAATATAAATAACTACTGTTTCGTGGGCTAGTTTGGGACAATGCTTAATTTTTGGCTAAAAATTGTTAATTACCTCCCTAATTTGGTTAGTTTAGTAATCATCCCTTAAGAAAATCATAATAGTTGATTGTCAACATTTATAAATATTGATCGTAATTAAAAGTACCACTTAATGATATTTTTATGAAATTTAGAAGTTGTAAGACTTAAATCATTATAAGCTCCACATTTACTCTTAATGGTTTATAATATTATATATAATGTAATATAATAAAAGAACACAAACAAAGGGACATAATTGAACACAACATAAATGAATGCAAATTAACGGAGATATACGAACGTAAATGAGCGAACGAGATCATTTTTCGTGTTCATTTGTTCAATTTGTTCAACTAAATGAACGAATTGTTTTGTTCATGTTTGTTCCTTATGAATAAACAAACATAAATGAATTTCTCGTCAGATGGTTCGACGAAGATCAGGGTGTTTTTTTTCTTGGTTGGTATTTTTTTATTGAATATATAACATGTGTGCAGTATTTTCCATGTTTACAAAATAAGATGTTGACCATAAATATGTAGTATACATAAAGAAAATTGTATATATATTTTTTTTAATCTGCAGGCTAAAATTTAGTTGTTATCATCTAAATGAAATAAAATCAAATGAAATTATTATATGCTAGCAACAATATCATAGTGATTATCATCACCATCTTTATCATATTAAAATACCATCATGCTCTTAAAATCATTAAGAATCATGTTCAAATACAAACACAAAATCTACCGGATGCAAGAGGTGTTCGTCCGTGTATAAATGGTAACGATATTATTTTCAATAATACAAAGAGTAAATTAAAGTTTTGGCACTTGTGGTTTATAGTCTAGGGGTGAGCGCGGTGCGGTTATTAGCTAAAACCTCACCACTAACCGTAAATGCGGTTAATCCATTTTCAAAACCGTTTGGTGCAGTTATTTTTGCGGTGCGGTTTTGTTTTTTTTTTTTTTTTTTTTGTGTTGCGGTTATTAACCGCATGGATTTGATGCGGTTATTTTATGTGTTTTTTAACCATAGTTTAGAGCTCAAACGGTTTTAAGAGTTCAAACATATTACTTATAAAAAAACATAAGGTATAAGACAATTAACTTAAATCACAAACAACTAATATCTTAAAAACGCCAAATCAATAGTAATTAACAATAAATATCTTAAAATTGTCTAATTTTATCATTTTTCAAAGTTAAATATAACAAAAAACCAACACTTTTGTCTTTTAGTATTTTATCAATCTTTCATCCATAAGACTTGTCTTATTTTTAATATTTAATATATTAATAATTAATAAAAAAAATTATATATAATATATGCGAGGCGGTGCGATTTTTTTGCAGTTTTTGAAAACTAATAACCGCACCGCACCGCAAAATTGCGGTTTTTGAAAAACATAAAACCTCACCATCGGTTTTTATTGCGGTTGCGGTTTATCGGTTGCAGTTTATGCGGTTTTTGAGGTTAATTTTAGTTGCGGTGCGGTTTTTGCTCACCCCTAGTTTATACTTATATGTACATGACTCGTCTTTGTGGTTTCTAAAAGTTGCATGTATGGTTCTTAAAACTAACTCCGTCAATTGTCATCCGTTAAGTGCATACGAAATGACAAAATTTTTGTCCATTTTTCTTTTTTATTTTTTCATTTTTAAAATTTAAGGGATCATTTTGCTCATTTTCATAAAAATATAATAAGGACCGCCCTATACCGCTACTACTACCACAATCATCGTATATCACCACCACAACCACCATATACCATCACTTTAACACAAACACCCTACACCACCAACCACCAGCATCCAGTGGCGGAGCCACCTTGTTAGAGGTGAGGTCCAAACACACCACTTGGAAGAGGATTACAATCATTTTATTACCAAATATAACCTTAAATAATTTTTCTTTTATTAAGAAATTCCTTCCATGGCACCCATTCTTATAAAATATCCAAAAAATTAAAAATATCCAAAAATGCAAGCCAAATATAACCTTAAAACTCCTTACATGTCAATGAAAAGTCTTTCATTGACATTTTTTACTGAAAAAAACTAAAAATATCCAAAAAATTCAAAATGTTGTATTCTTTTTTATATAATGGACCTTAGCTGGATCCGCCATCAACATTAAAAATCTAGAAAAACAACCCCATCATTCACCATTCACCCTTCATAAACAAACCCAAAAACCATATACTGATTACCAAAATCTCCACAAAACCAAAATCAACTCCCAAAAACCCAATAAACAAACTATACAACATCTCCATTATCTTTATCATTCGATTCCGACCCTAAATTAGAACAAAAAATCAATTACATTTGTCTTTGTCCCTAAATCGCAACCCAACATCGAAGGGGAGATGAAGGAATCATCCGGTAGTGGATGATGGAAGGAGGTGAGGAGAAAAGGAGGTGATAAGGGTAGGGATGGTGGTGGCGTTGTAATGCATGGGAAGAGGTGAGACAACGAGGGTTGGAGGTGCCATCGGAAAACCTATAGGCTAATAAGGAAGAAGCATGTTTAGTATTGCAACTTTCGGGATAATTTATAATTTTGGTCCTTGATATGTATATGTTTTTATATTTATAGTCAAAGGGTAAAATGATAAAAAGTAAAATAAGAAAAGACAAAACAATAATATATTTATCATTTTACAGGATTTAACAGATTTCATTAAACAGTAGCAACTTTGGCCTTTAGGGACAATACATATAACTTTTGAAAAGCAAAAAGACAAACCATATTAAAAAATGAGAAGTTAAACTAAGACCGAAAATAAATATAGACCAAAAGTGTAACTTACTCTAAAACAAATACCGTATGTGTACAACACTACAATGATGTTTGTTTTTTCTGAGGCAAAATGTATGCAGTCTGCGGACCACATCTGTAGACCTCTGCAGTAGAAGAGGTGGACCAAACGTCTGCAGTCTGAAAAAAGAAGACTGTTTGTTTTTTTTTAACATCTGCGGGCTACTAAAATAAACTGAAATTTAAATAAACTGATTTTTTTAAACTTCAAAGTGATTTTTTAATATTTTTATGACTTTGTTATAAATAATTAACGAATCTAGATCAACTTTTATGTATTATTGTATAAAAAATAAAAATAAAAAATGATATGAATTAACGTATATATTTGATAAAAACCAACAATTTTGGTTGTAAAGTTATAACTAAACATTATAATTAGTGATCAAAGAATTTGATACATAAATGGATGGAAATAAACTTCGATTTTTTCAATTAAATCCATTAAAAACGTACCATAAATATTTTTTCTCGAGAAATTAACGATATTGTATTAAATAATGTTTTACAAAATTTGGCAAAAAAATATAATAATATATTATGATTTTTTTTCATATTTATATAAACAATTTCAACGACTATCATTGTAATAAATCTTTATTTATAAATTTGTCAAAAATATCATGTTTGTATCGTCAAACGTTTTTTTTAAGTTTTGTAATTTTTTTTTTCAAATTGTTTATCATTAATAAAGTTGGAAAAAATATAAATTAAAAAAAAAACTTAAAAAAAATAAAGATATATATGTTTTTTTAGGCTAGAAGATGTCTGAAAATTTTAGAAGACTCTGGTCCATATCTGCGCCAAAAAGAGGGCGCGCAGACATTTTTAGGTTTGCAGTCTTCAAAAAACAAACAGTCTGCGAAGGCTAATGTCTGCACATTGTCTGCGCTGCGCAGACAGAAGAGGCCACGCAGATATGCAAACAAAAAACAACCAGATTGGGCCGGGTGTAGAGGTCCACTAACCGAAACCCAATACATCACCCCCAATTCTGACTCCGCAAGAAGTTATTTCAGTACATCGATCCGCCATCGCTCCGAATCCTTTCTCTCTTCTGTGGTGACTAGGTTATCGATTCTCCTCCATTTCTGTTCTCGCGAATACCTTGACTTTATCAACGTTCAAGTAAGTCCATTCGTCTCAATTCGATGCCTTTGTCAATTGCATCGTATTAATTTGATCTGATTTCTAGGTTTCTAGGTTTTCTTGATTCGTAGAGTTAGATGTAAATTACGCAACGAATCTATGCCAGGCCTTGACTCATTTTTCTTTTCTCAGAGGATATATCACCTGACGCTTCATCTGATTAATGTTTCGAATCGATTATTTTCTGTACAATTGGCATATCAATATGTATTGCGTGTTTCTCGATCTGTATACACTATACAGTATTTTGATTTTCGAAAATTTCTTTTTTGGATTTGATTTAGAGTCTGATATTGAATCTGGCAATAGAATTGAAGTTTCTGAACATGATGAATGCTTAGGTAGATTCTATTGCCCTAAAGTTAAAAATATTTGTTTGCAGGATGGTGGCAGAGGCACCTTTTAGACCAAGAGAACAACTTCTTGAGAAGCAAAGATTGTTTCAAAGCATCCACAAACACACTCATTTGAAAAGTCCAATGGACAAGCTTACCTCAGTTGCCATTCCTGTTGCTCTTGCTGGTTCTTGCCTTTTTCTCATTGTAAGTTCATGTCTCAAAAACATTTTCTTTCTTGTATATAAATTTGCAGTTCTTTTTTTTAAGTGGCTTGCATTTGTTTATAGGGTCGAGGTATCTATAACATGTCTCATGGGATTGGAAAGAAAGAATGAAAACTGAAGGCACACATGAAATGTTTACAGTTTTTGAAGCTATTCTTGTTTTAATTTAGACCTTTGTGTTGTTCAAGTTTTTATATGCTTTTATGAAGTTTAAATAATTTGTTTGCACTTTGCAGTAGGTTGAACCACTGCATTTTGACATTGTACTTTCTGTTATGGAGAAATTCTTGATCGTTGGATGTTTTTTAGCATGATTTTATCAAATTTAATTGGTATCTATCTAATATTTTGAAGTTTGGGGTTTAAAAGAGGTAGCAGTGATCAATTTCAAAGGTTTACAACATTGGATAGATTTAGGAATTTTAGGATAAAGTTTTTGAATAAGAAAAAGATTTATACAATATTATTCATCAAATGGTTCTTTTGTTTGTTATTTACATTTGGGCAATTTACATAAAAGCCACTATAATTTGGCTATTTGTATGGTTGAACCACTATGTTTTTATTTTGTCAATAAAAGTGACTCAAGTTTTATAAATTTTTTTTATGTCGACTGCTATGACTTGTAGTGGTCACAATAATTTATTTATTTGCCAAAGTTTAGTAGGTTTAGTGAAACTTTTTACACTTAATATTTCACTTAAGTCATTAAATATTTCATTGTAAGTCGTTAAATGTTCCATTAAAAATATAGGGACTTTATATTGCGACATTTTTAACAATTTATGGCATGATATAGCAAAAAATATAGGGACTTTATTAATTTGCATGTTACATTTCCTATGATGTAAACTTTGTTATTGTTATGATAGAAGTATACAATCAACAAAGTAACATATATAAGGAATGTAATTCAAATCAAATATAAATACAAGAAGTAATTCATAAGAAAAACATATTTGAATGTATTATACACAACATAATACAGACTCGAAATTGTAGATTGAGGTCTGCAAATTGCAGTTTTTTAAGACAAAAATTGTCTTGGTATGGGTTTGTCTTAAGAATACGACAATCAATTTAAGAACAAGCCTTGAATATGTCGAAATTCTCCATGCTTCCTTGATTTCTCAGAAAAACGAGAGAGAAAGAAAATGTCGTTTTTGTATATTGTGATCAACTCTCAATCTGTCAGTTGATCATGTATTTATAGGCCGTCAAATAGCAGTTAAAACTGTCAAACATCATACATGTTCAAAAACCGAAATTTACTGTCAGTTAACTAATAATCAGTTAATTAACAATTAATAAATTTTTGGAATTTATTAATAAAAATTAATTAATTAGTCAACAGGAGACCAATCCAAGACTAATTTAATAGCCAAATACCACAATTCTAGTCCAAAATGTATTTTTGTCTTACTTTATCCATTGAAAAATATTTAGAGACAAAGACTTATAAAGTTAGTCAATGTTATAAAAAAAATTATACTATAAGCAAAGTTCCAATAGTTATAACTTTTATTCTAAACAAATTCATAATTCATAATGTATGTTATGAGTCTTTACCATTTTCAAAATTAAGATACAATTTTAAATTATTATTTTATTTATTTTATTTTTTGTCTCTCCATTTACTTATGTGTAATAAAGTGGCTAATTGAATTATAATGTTCCTTAGAGTGATTTATACATAAGTTTTTTTTTCTAAACTAAATAAATCGTCCTAGTAAGATCAAATGACTATTTTGCTCATTATATTATGAAATCCAAATTTTAAGATATTCAGTCATTTTAAAAATGTTTATAAGGAGTTGGAAAAAAAAAATAATAAAAGCAGATAGGTAAAAGGTTCATGTTTTTGATAAATTAACCAAGTTTTTTTTGGCTAAACACTTTAAATTATATTGTCCAAACTAAATAAGAATTAATAAACATTTATATATGTTCAAATTAAATGCTTAAGCGATTAAGCTCGTGAAATAATAATTAAAAAATAAATTGTAAAGATTTGTTAGATATAAGGCTAAACTCGTTATAACTAAAATAACTAAATACCTGATGTACAAATTTATTTTATTTTGTAATTAGTAAAACATATTCATAGAATACCAACTAATATTAGTTTATTAGAAAAAAAATAGAAAAAATGAGATGGAAATAACTCCTCTTTTGCATTGAAATTTGAGAATTGAGACTATAAATTCTCAATTTCATTTTGAAATTGTTTTTTGTTTTATAATATTATGGGGCAACGAGTAGATTCTTTAAAGTTAGTACCTACATTTAACAAACAAGTAAAAATACAGGGACTAAAATGTTAACATGTCCAAAGATACTCAATTAGCTCGCGCTATAACCAAATAACCATCACCTGATAGAACACACGACAGTGCCCGACTCAACCATTTTTACACAGCAACAAAGCTCTCCATAGAGGTGAAGAAAACCTAATCAATGGTTGTTTTAAGCTTCAACACCGAGATCTCACTGATTTCTTTTTGAAACTTTGATTTATCTCTGAAAACTTGGTTTCAATCCGATAACATGCGGTCAAAAGACAGAATTTCCTACTTCTACGATGGTATGTGTTCTTCTACTCCGTTGCTTCTATATGTAAATGCACATGCGATTATTGATGAAATATCATTGCATTATATTTCCAGTTCTCGATCCCTTTTAACTTATTTTTTCTTGTTTCTTCCTTACAATCTCAAACCCTAGAAGCTTATGAACTTTCGAGATGACTATCTGCTAATAAATAGTTTACTCTTCGTATAACATGCTAAATTTTGGTTACGAAATTGAGAAATGATTGTGAAAATTGGGGGTGATTGACTTTTTCAGGGGATGTTGGTAATGTTTACTTTGGACCTAATCATCCGATGAAGCCCCCATCGATTATGTATGACTCATCATTTGGTGCTTTCATATGATCTTCACAAGAAGATGGAAATCTATGTTAGCTTTCTCTATCTTTTCCCTCTTTGGTTTCATCTCCAAAAGGCCGATAAACTTTCTTAATAATCTATGATTTTCTGGTGTTCAACACAGAGGCCTCATAAGGCATATCCAGTTGAGCTAGCTCAATTTCACTCAGCCGATTATGTGGAGTTCTTGCAGCGTATAAATCCTGACACACAACAGTTGTTTCCAGAAGAAATGGCAAAATGTAAAACATCTCAATTCTCAAATCCCTTTCACCAAATATACAAGACTTTATCTTGTTCTTAACTTCTATGTAATCTTCTTTGATCTTCAGTTAAACTTGGAGAAGACTGCCCTGTTTTTGATGACTTATTCGAATTTTGCCAAATATATGCTGGTGGAACAATCGGTAAGTTTCCCAAAAGGGTATTTTAGTCATTCTTCATCAACACATCACATTAACAGATACAAGCAGATGCTGCACGCAGATTAAACAATCAACTCTGTGACATTGCAATAAACTGGGCTGGAGGATTACACCATGCAAAAAAATGTGAAGCATCTGGATTTTGTTACATCAATGACTTGGTTTTGGGAATCTTGGAGCTTCTTAAATATCATGCAAGAGTTCTTTACATTGACATTGATGTTCATCATGGAGATGGTGTAGAAGAAGCCTTTTATTTCACTGATAGAGTGATGACTGTTAGTTTTCACAAATATGGAAATATGTTCTTTCCTGGATCAGGTGATGTTAAGGTATTTATATATTTATATGTTCTTGACTTCTTTCCTTCTTCTTCTTCTTTTTTTCACACAAAGTGGGACCCGATTATATTATAATTTTTCATGTAGGAAATTGGGGAAAGAGAAGGAAAGTTTTATGCGATTAATGTTCCTTTGAAGGATGGTATAGATGATGGAAGCTTTACTCGATTGTTTAAAACAGTATGTATCAAAATTCAGATGTCTTTTGGTTTTTTAATTATATATTTATATTAAATGTATATATATTTTTTTTTTGTAGATTATTGCGAAAGTTGTTGAAACATATCAACCAGGTGTAATAGTTCTCCAATGTGGAGCAGATTCACTTGCTGGAGATCGATTGGGATGCTTTAATCTCTCAATAGATGGTGATAATTTTTTATTTTTAATTTATTATTATATTTATTTTGAAATACTTACTTTTGAATTTCTTCCAGGACATGCTGAATGTGTTAGATTTGTTAAAAAGTTTAATTTGCCTCTACTGGTAAGTTTATTTTTAAATAAAACGTAGCTTACTTTTTTTTTTTTTTTTTTTTAAGTTTTAGATTTTATTTTATTTTAAGGTAACTGGAGGTGGAGGATATACAAAAGAGAATGTTGCTAGGTGTTGGACTGTTGAAACAGGAGTTCTTTTAGACACAGAGCTTCCTAATGGTATATATTATTTTATTAATTATTAATTTATTAATTTAATTTCATTTAGGTTTTTTAATTTAATTATGCATAACAACTTATTACAGAGATCCCAGATAATGACTATATCAAGTATTTTGCTCCAGAGTGTTCTTTAAGGATTCCAACTGGTCATATTGTATGTAATTATTTTTTATACTTCGAATTTGGATTACATTGATAATATTTAATTTTATAATGTTATAAAAATAAATATTTATTGGTGTTTGGACAGGAAAATTTTAATAGCAAGTCTTATTTAGGAACTATAAAGATGCAAGTTTTGGAAAATCTACGTTCCATTCAACATGCCCCAAGTGTACAAATGCAAGAGGTAACAAATATAATATAAGTTTTTACCAAGTGTTTTTTATTAAATTTTAAACATGACTTTTTATATATTTTGGTATGTTTTAGGTTCCACCGGATTTTTATATTCCTGATTTTGATGAAGATGAGAAGAACCCTGATGAAAGAAACGATCGTAAGTGTATAAAAAAATAAATAAATAACTTTGTTGTTTTTATAATTGGAGATTAATTAGGTTAACTTTTATTGTTTTTTTTTTCTTCAGAACATACGCAAGACAAGCATATCCAACGTGATGATGAATACTATGAAGGAGATAATGACAATGATCATAACATGGATGATGTTTAGTTAGAATGTTAGATACTACTACTCACAATGGACAACAATTATTCTAGTATTTCATTTTAGGGTAGACTGTATGTAGAGTAGATATTACAAAAATTATGCTTCTTTTTAACTAACTGTTTTGGAACACTCACTACAAAGAAAAGAATCAATCCACACAAAATCTTGTTAGTTAATCTCTAATTTAAAAAGATATATATATATATATATATATATATATATATATATATATATATATATATATATATATATGGATGTGTTCCTTGTAGGATAGTGGAAAACCAAAATATCCATTTTACCCCATTAATAAATACTAAATATGATACAATGACAATGAAGTGTTCCATTTAAGAGTTTTTGTTCATTATGTCAAACGACGATTACAAGTAATGTGATGAGATGAATGGAGGAAATCTATGAGCTGTTTTCTGCCAAAATGGTATCCAATAGCGATTCACATGCATCCTCAAGCAAATCCAACACCTATAGAAAGTAGAAACAACCATTAAGAACTTAAAGAGATTGACAAAATGGAAGAAAAGTTCAAGAGTTTTAGAGCATCTAAGACATGTAATAGCTCAAGTAAACATTATTACATTAAGAATTGCATTTCTAGCGTATGTTTGAGCACAAACACATGAACTCGATAAATTATTACATTAAGGACTTAATGAGGAAAGCATAATTTCCCAATTATAACGTGTTGTCTTGATAGATTATGTTTTAAGACTTTAAAACCTCATTTCCCAGACTTTTAAGTCAAAAAGAAACACCAATGACCCATATATAGCTAACCAAATTAAGTCATGTCTCCATTAAACCATTTAAGTAAAAAAGAAACAACACTTAAATTAAATTCAAGAGAGTTTATGTTTACCTTCTCAAAACCTTGTGCTCCACCATAGTAAGGATCAGGCACTTCAGTTTCATCATGTTTTTTACAGTAAGAACACATTAACTTAACCTAAATTCACACCCAATTAATGAATTAAACAACAAGAATTGCAAATGCATTAAAAAAAAAAAAAAGATTCTTTAAAACTTTCTACAGACCTTCTTGTATGCATCAGCTGGTAAGGCTTCCTTAAAACTCCATCTTTCCAAAGCTGCAAGTATATCCTCTGCAATCCATACAAAAATTCAACTAAATGATGAAGAAAATTACATACATTTACCTCAAAAATCAATGTCTTACGACTTAATCTAAATAAATCACACCTTTATTTTGCTTGTCCATGGCAAGAATGAGATCAAATTCTTTGAAATCGGATGGCCTTATTGGCCTTGATATCGATGTGATTTCAATTCCTCTTCTTTTAGATGCAGCTCTCATTCGCGAGTCTGCTGGACCTCCCTTCAATAAATGAAAAATCGAAACAAAATTCAGAACGAATTTCAAGAAATTGGAGATCGAATCGTTAATGGATACTCTTAAAATTCTCCTAAAAGTAATTCAAGAGTAAATTGAGGAAAAACTCATGATGGAATGATGAATTATCCATAAACCTCGTGATAGTTGATGGTACCAGCAGAATCGATGAGAAACTTGGAAGAAAGATCTCGTTTTTTGACCAAATCAGTGAAGACGCCTTCAGCAGCTGGGCTTCTACAGATGTTTCCCAAGCAGACGAAGAGAACAGAGAAGGGTTTTTCTGTAGTTTTATCTGTCTGAGTTGTGGAAGCCATTGACGATGATGATGATGTGATTACTGTTATTGGGTTTTGTTTGATTTGTGATATTCGATGAAAAATATTTGAAGTTTGAAAATGTGGTGATGGATTTAGAGGAAGAAGGGTTGGAAGAAAGGGGGATTTGGTGTCGCAATGGCAAAATGGCAACTTAGGGATGGTTGGGAGGCTACTGGTGCATAGTGACCTCATTGCTGCCTGCGATTTTGGTAGAAAAGGAGTGAGGTGAGCCCAAAGAATAAGGTTCGAAGGATGCTTTTGTTAGATTTTTGTTTGTATGATTACATTTTCATTTTTCACCACAAAATAGACTTGAAAAATAAACTTTTGATAACTCGAATTTCTTAACTTACAAAAAATTATAAAATATGATATCTATTAACATATTTTTGATAAAGCTGTTTTTGAGAGATTTTAGTTTTTTTTTAAGAAAAACTCAAAAAAAAAAAATATGATTTTGCAAATCATACTTAATTACTTTTTTTTAAATCAATTATATGTTCTAGATAAATCATAAATTTATAGTATCTTTTAAAAGCTTTCAGTTATTTTTGTTGATCAGTCATGCAAATAAAAGCTACAACTTCTAACTTTCAGCTAGTTTTATCATACACGTCCATAATTTATTGATGTGTTTATAACATAAGAAAGTCATAATTACAGGATGATAACTGTATACAACTGCAAAAGTGGTAATCTTTGTGAAAAAAAAACAATTTTAGATTTGTTTTATCTCCATATCTTAATTTTTTTTATTTGAAATAAAATACAGTAAAACATGTTTATAAATACACCTTGGAAAGGAGAGATTTTTAATTTTCGGTAAATAATCCACCAACACATATTTTCTTGGAGACGAAGTATAAATCAAAATCCAACCATACATATTTATGTATATATTTTTGTACAATCAAAATATAAATGAGATAAGGGAAGAAATATTGACAACTCAAACACATAAGTTTTAATGAGATTCATACAAACATGGCTACATCCTTACCATGATTAGCCATTCGGATAAGTCCACTAATAAATAACTCTTTAGAGTCACACTTGTTATCCATGAACCCAATGTCCAGTGATCACTGTCTCAAATAGTCAAAGGTTGTCATCACAACACACTCATAACCTTAAAGCATAGCTCTTAACAAGTCAACTCATACACAACCAATGATACGACGTGACCAAAAATGATCAACCGAATGTTTCATAATACAACGTAGATAGCCAGTAGAAAAAAACTATTCCCAAGCTGGAGAGGTGGGAGAGGAGAGAAATTGAAGTGGATCTCCTATCTATATTCGACAGCTTGAGAACCGTGTCCGCATCAATCGAAGTGGTGGAAGGCCCCCTGAGTTAAAGGGATAGCTTTCGCGCCTCTCCAAGAGAGATAATTTGGTATCTGAATCGGTTGAAGGAGAGTGAGAGTTCGAAGTTGCTGGTAGGTACAACATAAACTAATGGGTGTTGTGAGTATGAACTTATTTGAGGATCATGAGGAAAGTGTTGAGGAATAAGCTAAGAAATCTTGGTTATCGAGAAAGTACCCTATCGGAGCAGCTTTAGTTTGTCACGAACCATTTCGTGGTCTATGTAGCCACTAACCACGAATTTGAACACCATCCCAGGTGTTTGTGGTAGTTAGTGATGAAGCATTCTCGTGGTCAATTGTGGTGGGGAACACTGACCACCACAAACAATTAGTTTGTTTCTCTGTCTATTTCTCTCTATATCTCTATCTTTCTCCATCTCTCCACATTTTAATTAATAAAAAAATATTTTTTTTTATTTTAATAATCAAAAAATAAGAGGGATATAGTGGTGAATATCCCAACATTTTAGTGGTTGAATATGATGATGAGTTGGCACCCACCACTATAGTGGTTAGTGGTAGGTATAACGGATGCCTAATAAATCTGCATGTCAATAGAACTGTTTTTTTATAGTCGGAGTAAATTACACGAATGGTCCCTATATTTTAAGGTAATTTGAGCGTTTAGTCCCTAACTTGTTTTTTTAACTCGGAAGGTCCCTACTGTTTGTTTTTGTTACACGCTTGGTCTCTGTCTTACCTAAAAAAACTATTTTGTCATTGATTTTTTAAAATATTTAAATAAACACACCCCAACCCCCTTCACCTTACCTTACCTATCCCACTATTTTTTTCTATTTAAATAATAGTCTTTTTAGGTAAGACAGAGACCAATCGCGTAACAAAAACAAACAGTATGGGACCAAGTGCGTAACAAAAACAAACAGTAGAGACTTTCCAAGTTAAAAAAATAAGTTAGGGACCAACTGCGCAAATTACCACACACCATAAGGACCATTCGTGTAATTTACTCCTTAAAGTAACATCATTTTTTGCAACAAAATTATCATCCTCGCGTGGTTGTAGTAGGCTTCATAAAACAATAAAAGCACCTAAATATATTAGTCATGCAATTTGAATACTAAACCTACATACAAATTTTGTAATACCATCTAAGAAGTTTTCTACGATTTCCAATTTTCAACACAATCAACACCTATTTTCATGTTCTTAGTCAAAGTTGGAATGCGGGATGCCAAAAAACTTTTACGCTTCATCATTAAACCTTGAAATTCACAATTTTGTCACATGGTTTTCCATAATTAAAAGAAAACTAGCTAAACTAACGAAAAAACTTTAACTTATCGATGATTAACTCTTTGAAATCTCTACTCTCTAGATGACTTCAACTATAAACCAAATAAAGTAAATCATTCCATCTTTCAAGCCAATGGAATGTAATGATCAATTCCATTCCATAACAATGCTCATTCAATTCCTTTATGATTTCATTCCACTCTTGTGATCAATATATATAACAACATTTGATGACAACCCAAAATTTGTGATTTCATTCCAATCAAGACCTAACGCACACCACATAGGTTGTAGGATTTTAAACACAAGACAATGTGATGATCACTCAAAACGATAGAACAAAGGAGACAGGATTATAACAAGCGATTAAAGCAGATATGTTGAAACAAAATCAATTGGCAAATAGACTCAGATCTTTAACTAAAAATTAGAACTTCAAAAATTGTGCATGGTCTATAAATTCTGAAAATTTAGGACAAAACTAGAGATCATTACGAAAAATACATAAACAACGATAGCAAAATGAAAGTATGCTTCTCACAAAGTGAAAAAACCATAATTCCTTAATCATCAAAGAGACTGAATCCCATTTCCTGAAAACAAAGAAACGAAAATGTAAGCATATGATCCAAGAAAACATCTTGAAATGAAACAAGTTGATTAAACCAAAAGAATGTAAGTACGACAACTTACATCATCAGATTCCTCTTTCTCTTCAACCTTCTCCTCTTTCTTTGGCTCAGCTGCGGCAGCAGCAGGTGCAGCAACTCCACCGGCTGCGGCGGCAACAGCAACACCACCACCTCCTGAAGGAACTGAAGCCAACTTTTCCCGGCCAGAGGCAATCAGTTCTGTGATGTCTTTACCCTTGACTTCAGACAAGAGCAATTCAATTCTATCTTCGTCTGCTTCGGCTCCAACTGCAAATCACAGTTCATAACTCATTTGTTACTTCACATTTCACAAAAAATGAAACATATACAAACTTAGTGGAGTAATATATCTCCCTAAATGATGTGTTAATTGTATAAATATCAAACGGAATACGTTCACACATTCGCACTATTTAAACACATACCTGAACCGAGGATTTTCTTCAAATCTTCGGCAGATGGGGAGGTGTTACCTCCCAATAGAGCCAACAAATAAGCAGCAACAACCTTCATTCTGCTGCAACGAAACAAGAAAATTCAACAAACAAATCGAATATCCTCCTCTAAAGTAAAACAACCGCTGATTTTGAGATGGAGAAGGGATCAGAATGAAGAAGACGACGATACCTGTATTGCGTTGAAGCCGATCTGTATCTCTTGCCTCCTTTGTGTGTTTAGGGTTCAGCAGACTTCTTGAAACCCTAACTCGATTTATAAGTATTAATAGCTTCGGCCTTCCTGGTGTTCTTTAGTGGGCTACGATTGATGCATTGGTTATGGGCCGGACTTTTTCTTTATTATAGCCTGATAACAGAAAACTTTCTAGATTGGGAATAAGATGAATATGGATGTTTATTTTTCTTTTTACCATTCTATCATGAATAAGTATAATAAGTATACTAGTAATTGTTTGGTTAGAAAGAAAATCATTTATGAATATACAACAATGTATTGGTCCTGCATACACACGACCTTTAAGAATTCTTCAAACTCTAGCAAATGGTAAAGAAGATACTCATTTATCAGTTATATCAATCAAAGGGTAGATTTGATTAAAAAAACTACACTCAAATGAGTTTGGAGAAAAACTAACAAATATTAATGTATGTTCTGACTAGTTCACTTTTTTTAGAATTGTTTTTCATTTTTTATATGCTTTGATGTAATAAAAACAATTACAAAATTTTATTGCTAAAACACTGATATATATTTATATGTAATTAAGATAAAGTATGACACAAATCAACTCGGTAGTCACATTGCGAGTTGAAAGTATAGTATGAATTCAAATTAAAAACATAAAACAATAAAAATAAGGGGAAATGACTTAGAAAGGTGATTACGTTTCAAAATTGTTCAAAAATATTATTCAAATTTAGTCAGCACAAAAAATATTAATGAATTAAGGTCTTTGTACACAAAATATCATCAAAGTGTATGTGTGTTCAAATTACAACTTATGGTAACCTGATTATTGGGTTAATATTATTGGTTGTCATCCGATCGATCGTTGAAAGTAAGAAGGATTGGGAATTCTCAAATCTCCATGTACTGGGAAAACTTAGTCGAATCTAAGTGGGGGAGAGAATTTTTATAAAGTTCTCCAACTGTGAGTTCTGGTTGCGCGAGGTGCAATCTCTTGGGCACCTTGTCAACCAGAAGGGTATTCTGGTCGATCCGACCAAGATAGAGGCCTTGATGCAGCGGGAGATTCCGAGGTCTCCGACCGAGATTCGGAGTTTCCTGGGTCTAGCGGGTTATTATCGGAGATTTATATGGGACTTATCCGTGATCGCGGTTCCTTTGATCCGACTGACCAAGAAGTTGGTGACCTTTCGCTGGGAGCCTGAGCAGCAGGCAACCTTCGAGACTCTGCGACAGCAGGTTTCGGGAACCAAGATAGAGCTCCAGTTAGGACTCGAGTTCATTTGTGTGTTAGGTCGAGAGTGTGTTCGACCGGTATGGGAAGTGTTGTAAGACTACGGGGGTAGCCGTAGCATTCACTAGTAGTCAGATAGCATGGGAAGTGTTGTAAGACTGCGGGGGTAGTTGTAGCATTCACTAGTGGCCAGTTAGCATGGGAAGTGTTGTAAGACTGTGGGGGTAGCCGTAGCATTCATTAGTGGTCAGTTAGCATGGGAAGTGTTGTAAGACTGCGGGGGTAGCCGTAGCATTCACTAGCGATCAGATAGTGATAGAGTGTCGTGAGACTGCGGGCGTAGCCGTAGTATTCATTAGCGATCAGATAGTGTTAGCGTTTTGTAAGTCTGCGGGTGTAGCTGTAGCATTCACAAGGTTAGAAGATAATGCTTGAGTGGTGTAAGTCTGTGAGTGTAGCCGCAGCCTTCACTTGGTTGGCAGATAGCATGAGTGCGTTGTTAGGGCGCGGAATGAACAGTAGTACGCACCAGTTTGGGTGCAACATTGAGGATATGGAAGTCCACAGATTGGATTTCGGATTTACCCAAATGGATTAGATCTGGTTAAGCCAGTAATGAGACCGTGGGGACGTCACTACAGTTATGAGATCAGGGAATCAATGGACTGCTTAAGGTCGTTGTGACAATAGGCTACCATTGGTCGGGTAGCAAACACTTTTAGCATTGGATGTGGTGACGTCAGGATTCGATGCATGGACCCGATCGGTTGGGTCGGGAGGTTGTTAGAGCCACAGTGGCATGATAGCTAGTGGCAACTAGTTCCAGAGAAGTATTTAGTTCGAAAGTCGTGTGAGGCGACTAAGTGGGAGTCCTTTGGCCCCGCAGCTGGGCCGAAACCCGATATTTCAGATGATTGGCGAACAAATTGAGACCAGGTAGGTCTCGGTGGATTTTGGAAAGCAGCCATGTGACAGCATACTGCTTCAGGCCGTTCAGTGTTCGGGCGGTGACAGTGTTTGGGCAGTATTAGTATTTATGTTTTGGGTTGCAAATACGGACAAAATAATAGATTGCTTGGGTTATGCTGAGTGACCAGCATGGGTAATTAGGTCTGTGATCCTATTTTATAGTGGGAACCTCGAGCTATCAGAAGTTGAGTAGCCTGTTGAGAGATAAACAGACTGAACTCAACGATAATGATTCAGTATGAGTGGTCTGTCAGGGATTCAGACCATCTCTAGACAGCAGATTTCAGACGGAGTAGATGTGATCTGGTTGCAAGGAATTCGTTCATATGAGGATATTAGGGCTTTGCGAAGATTGGTCACAGCAACCCTGGGAAGGCTAGGGTGTGCCCAAGACGGTGATCCTGTTACTAGAAGTGGTTTGGCATATAAGAAATAGTAAGGAGTGATTTCGAGGACGAAATCTAATTTAAGTGTGGGAGAGTTGTAAACCTGTTTATTTATTAGTTAAATAAATAAACTAATGAACGAATGGTAGCCAAAAATAAATAATTATATATGCAGGGTGTTGGGTTCGAGGAGTCAATTGCCACATTTTTAGAAGTCGGGGGTTAAAAGTGTGAGTTCGGGACTCATTTTATAAATATTCATGAAGACAGGGGCTTCGTGGTAATTATTTGGATTTAATTTAAAAAGGAAATGAGGTGGAAGGGCTGATTATGTCATAATTAAGATATCGGGGGCTGTTTCGTAAACTTTGTACCTACGGTGTAAAGGGTTTTAATGTTGGGGGTTTAAATGGTAATTTATGGGCTATGTTTGAAGAAATTGTGTATAGGACAGACCGATGCTGCCACTTCTGTTATAATTTTGTATGGAAGCGGGATTTAACCCGAAAGCCCTTACCCTCCTGTTGCATTGGAAAACCCTAAACCTAGTTCTTTCTCACAGCCGCCATGTGAAACCTCCAGCCGCCCCTCCCACCTACTCGACCTCCGGCACCGCACCACCACCGGATACCGCCACACTGTGGTCGCTGAGGATGTTGAGTCGTCATCCGTGACCTCACATGTCGTCAATATGGAGTCGCTCAGCCACCAGGCGAACACCGAGCATCCATCAGCCTCCTTCTCTTTCTCCTTCTTAGGTTGTCGCTGCTTCTTCGTGGTTCCGATCAGGCGACTCCGAGGAGCCTTCCGCTCCTAGCCTTACGCCATCAGTCGCTGTTTGCATCATCAGCCCGGTTCCGCCGCCGCCTCGTCGACAAACACTGTCGAACCGCCACCTAGCGCCGTCGATGTTTCTTTTCTAGTAACGACGAAGACCACCGGCGGGCTTCGTCCCTCTGTCGCTGCTGCCGGAGACGCTGGTGCGCCATTGGAGCCGCTGCTGTGTTCGTCGACAACAACCACCGCCTGCCGCCATTTCCTTCTACTTCTTTCCGTCGCTGCCTTGGCTCGTCACCATCAGCCACCGTGGGAGGTGGCTGTGAGTTGTGTGGGTGTGTGATTTTGCTTTTATTTGGGTGTTGTGTGTGTTTTGTCTAGTCGGAAAGTCGGGAATAGCCACTTCCACCATCGTGAGGTGGTGGCTGCCGCCATGAGCCACCATTGTGTGTGTATGTGTTTAGCCTAGTGTGTGTGTGTGTGTGTGTGTGTGTGCGGTTTGGTTATTTCGTTGTAATTTTGTATTAATTGGAATAGTGAAGAAAATCCATCACCACCACCGTTAGGTGGTGGCTGCCGCCTCCTGCCGCCACCGGCCGCCGTGTCGGGTGGCGGTGTGCTTGCCTCATTGAGTATGATTCGTTTGGGGTGCTTGAAACCCTAATGGGCCTTGTAAGCCCTAATGGGCCCCATAAAGCCCTAATTGACCTAAAAGCCCAACAAATTGATAAATGGGCTAGTATTTGGATTGGAAACCCTAATTAGGGTTTGGAAAACCCTAATGCAATGAAACCCTAATTTTGAGAATTAATCGGGACACACACACGGGAATTATTTAATAGCTTGAAATATTAAATAATAATCATTGGCAAAGATTAACTAAGCAATATTGGACTTAATGGATTAAGTCCTTAGTGGGTTAAGTCCTTAATGGGTTAAGTAGGAAACTTAACCCTAATCATCATTTTATGAGAAACCCTAGTTTCAATTGGGCTTTGTGTTGGGCCTTTCTTTTGGGTTTTGGTAATTGGGTTATTAATGGGCCATCCAAGAATAAGTAAATGGACTAAATAATTGTATGGGTTTTAGGATAAGGCCTATGTGAGGACTTGGGCCCAATTTGGAAAATTGGGCCATAGATGGGCCATAATTGGACCTTTATGATTATGTGATATTGGGCCATGGGAATTGGACTGGAATAATTGGATGGGCCTTAAGGAAAGACCATGTAGAGGTCTGGGCCCAATTTGGAAAAATGGGCCATATGTTGGGCCTTGGCCCATTACTTGACTTTTGGGCTTTTGGAGTGTGAGTTGGACTTTGAGCTTGGAACCCAATTATTAATTGGGTATTGTTTGATGTTGACAGTTCGGGAATCTGTCAACCAACAGCTGGAGTTTATTCTGCGGGACTTCAGCAGTGACAGGTGAGTTCTCCTCACTATATCAACAGGGTCTACGGCACCAAGGCCGACCCTTTATGATTACATTCTGGTTTTAGGATGTTGCTATGCTATGTGATCTGTATGATTATCTGTGTATATGTTAGTGACCTGGTTAGGTCGGTATCCTGGTTTTAGGATGTTGCTATGCTATGAGATCTGTTAGATCTGTATGATTATCTGTGTATATGTTAGTGACCTGGTTAGGTCGGTATCTTGGTTTTAGGATGTTGTTATGCTATGTGATCTGTTAGATTCGTATGATCATCTGTACATATGTTAGTGACCTGGTTAGGTCGGTATCCTGGTTATAGGGTGT